GTGGGCTTAGGGAAACCTTCCGTGAGGAGACTTGATGCCTTACCCAGAAGATGGAGTGGCCTAAGGGGCCAGCTGGGGCAAGGGCACCAGGTAGGGGGAAAACAAGGACTTCCCTTGGAACTGAAGAAAAGCTGTTGTGGCTGAACCATTCAGGTGATGGAGGAAAGGAGGAGAATGGTAATGAGTTATATCTTCTTAGAAGAAAACTATAGGAAATATATTTTCATGGAGGATTTTTTTGGGGAAAAAAGTGTCATTTTTTTATATTAAAGTCCAGAATCAGCAACATGGAATCTGATCTCTAATTCTGAAAACAGGTGCTGCAAGCTCACCTGTGCACCAGATACCTTGAGCATGGGCCTCCACATTGTATCTGGGGCTTCCATCGCCCTGTTACTACACGTGTGCCAGGCCCAGCAGGGCTCCATTCCAACATTACCTATCTCAGGGCTGCTGTCACCACCTGAAGTCTGGGAGATGTTTGGAGCAGCAGTCACTGATATTTCACACTAGCCCTGGAAAGCCCGTCCAGCCACATACCCTCCCAGATTCAGTGAGGCGGGCCACAGAGTCAGAGAATGGTGGTCCAATCTACCCTCCCACTTTATTTTTTTTCCTTCTAATCTGTGTGATGCAACAAAGCCAGTACAAACAAACGCCTGTGGTTCTCAATTGGTCTCTCCCATCCCTGTCACCAGATATCTTCCATTCTTTAGCAGGACGATCATGTCCTCTGGGGCTCAGAGTCTACAAAGCTCTTCTTTGGTCTACATCCTTTTCTAGATTATCTGTCCTTTTCCACAAAGTGTGGTTCTCTCAGGGCCACTTACTTGCTATCTCAGCCAAACGCCTCACCCTAAAATTCTTCCTTAAGACATCTTTCTCAAGGAACAGTTTTTTGAACATCTCATAAGCAATGACCAGAGACAAAAGTTACATGGAGTAAGAGTGATCAAGTGAGAGCTATAAATGAAACAACAGGAAGAATGGGGTGATCTTGGGCAGAGCTGTGGTCTCCGCCTGTGAATGTGAGGAACCTGAAATATTCAGAGTTGCTCTCCTACCTCTTGGACATTTCTTTAAAAACAAGATTGAGACATTTTCTCAATTCCACATGATTTTTTAACCCACAGGACCAAGACAGGAAGGGAAGAAAACATTTTGTTACCTCTTATAGACACAGTACTTTTTAGATCAGAACAGAAACCTGAATAAAAGTTATAGGAGTCAGCAAATTATTAGTCTCCCTTGGAGTTTTCACTCTTTTATGTGCTAACTTTCTAGTAAACTATCAATATCTGCGAATTCTCTATCTGCTGCATTATTTCCACTAACTGTTAGATGATCCTCACATTCCCTTACTGATAAGAATTAAACAGAGACCCCATAATACGCCTTCTGAAATGAGTCTCCCATGCGTTTCCTGCAGACACACACCACTCCCTCCGTGAAGAAGCAAAGAAAAGGTCCACAGACCTTCTTGAATCTCCAGGCCAAAGGTGGTTTCCCCGAAGGTGGATACCATTATTTTCTCTCAAGGGTAACTTGAGACTTTGCTTCAAGATGATATGGAGTGATGGCACAAAAATGGATCCATTTTCCTGAGACTTAAACAAAAATTCTCCATAGGGCTAAGAAATAACAGCAATACAATAGGGATTAGCATTATCTGGATGGCGAACTGAGGTGGTAAGTGTTACCATCTCTGTTGCTAATGGCCAACGAGCCATTTTGAGAGCTGCAGCTGCCAGGAGCCTCACTTTCTGGTTGTTACTTTGCCATTACTGGAGGAGGCCCAGGGGGAGAGTGTCACCTACGTTCTTAAACTTTTGATATTTTTTAAAATCAAAACATTAATACTGGAGGGGTCCAGGAAGGACTGTGCAGATAGTCAGGCATTATAAAGAGCTATTGTTTAGGGGATCCCTGGGTGGCTCAGCAGTTTAGCGCCTGTCTTTGGCCCAGGGTGCGATCCTGGAGTCCCGGGATCGAGTCCTACATCGGGCTTCCTGCATGGAGCCTGCTTCTCCCTCTGCCTGTGTCTCTGCCATTCTCTATCATAAATAAATAAATACATCTTAAAAAAAAAAAAGAACTATGGTTTGTGACACATAGCAAGAAGGCCTTCCCTCAGCCAGCAAGTTCCAAAACCTTCAAACAAGCTTTTTCTTTTCTTTTTTTTTTAAGTTTTACTCAATCATTTATTATTTTAGAGATTTATGAGAGAGAGAGAGAACACAAGTACGTGCATGCACATGAGCACACAGGGTAAGAGGGAGAGAGAGAGAATCCCAAGCAGACTCCCTCTTGAGCATGGAGCCCCATGCAACAGGGGGCTCAATCTTATGACTCTGAGATCATGACCTGAGCTGAAATCAAGAGTCAGACAACTGAGCCACCCAGGCACCCCAAAAAAGTTTTTAAAAGAATGTAGAATTTTAAACTCAGAGCTACTGACTGAAGGGGAATGTCAGTCCTACAGCTACTTTCTACAAAAATCAGTGACAAAACTCTGTACCTGAAGCATTTATTAAAGCAAGGAATTGGGGCCCCTAGGTGGTTCAGTTGGTTGAGGGTCTGCCTTCAGCTCAGGTCATGATCCCACGGTCCTGGTCCTGGGATCCAACCCCACATCGGGCTCCCTGCTCAGTGGGGAGCCTGCTTCTCCATCTCCCTCCACCCTTCCTACTGTTTGTGCTCTCAAATAAATAAATAAATAAATAAAATCTTAAAAAAAAAGAGCAAAGAATCTGGAAAGAGGAGTAATATATGTGGATGTAAGATGTAAAAGGTTAATGGAGTATTTTGTCTCTTGTCATCTGAACAGCATACATATATTTCCTTACTGTGGTTAGAACACTTAATAGGAGACTTACCCTCTTAACAAATTTTTATGTGCACAATATTGTTAACTACATGCACAATCACCTCGCTTAACTGAAACTTTATAGCTGTTGAACAACAGCTCCCCATTTCCCCCCTCCCTCCAGCCTCTGGCAACCACCATTTTACTCTCTGTTTCTAGGAGTTTGACCATTTTAGACACCTCACTTAAGTGGAATCACAATTGTCCTGTGACTGGCTTATTTCACTTAGTATAATGAATGGAGTATTTACAAAATAGCTAAGTGAAATTTTTATGAAATAGTTAACTGGCTAAATTGTTGATTATAAACTATGTAACATAGTATTCTCAAACTACATTACTATCCCCAAGAGATTTTCAACAGGGTTAATGTGGCTAGGACTTGGGTAAGAGTTTTATGATCCTCGTATAATTGGAGATTCTTGCATTACAAGCATTTCCCTTTCATTATGTAGATTTCTCCAATTTAAACTAATGATAAAAGTCAATAATCAAAGCAAGTGTAAGAAAATCATGTTAGATCGTCCTGCACAGGTGTACTTTCCATCTGCCAAGATTGAACTGCCTCTACTAGATCACTACGTTGTAAGGTGAAAACAAAGGGGAGCATCCAAGAGTCCATTTAAAATTATAGGCCAGGGCATAACCCAAGTTAGCTGAGGGCCAGGGGAACCAGTAAGATTAGATGTATCAAGTATCCCATCTATAAGCAAACTGAAAAGCAAGTAATGTAACTTCCTGAAAGTCTGTGCTGATCAACAAGCAACATTAACTTTAAAACAGGATGAGTTTGGGATAAAGATGGAAACCCTGCATATCTCAATATAATGCAAAAAGCAAGACCAAGTAGCGCTTCAGATACTAAGAAATAAATAGTAGTCATAAAATAATTTTTTAAACCAACTTCAGAAGTCTGAAAGTATTCCACTGAACCACATGAAATTGCCATTTTTGCAATTTTGATCATTATCAGTAATTTCATATGGCTCAACCAAACCAAAAGAGGGTTCATTAATTCAATGCTAAGAATAAAAATCTGAAGACATGCTCATATCTTGTGGCTTCGAAAGGAAGCTTGACTCCTATGAGAAAATATTACTGAAACAGGAAGATAAATGCCTCAAGTCATACAAAACTGTGGCCAGTCAGTGGCCATGTAAATAAGCCTAAAAATAATATTTTCCATTTATAACCATCCTTTTTTGTCTACAATAGGACAATTCTATTCCCGATAGAGTTCTCCATCCCTCTCGCTGGATCCGTGAACCCAGCTATTAATGGTAAAACTTCAAGCACATAGTCCTTCTATGCCCACATGCACCCCACTTCTCAATCTATAATTCACCGCTTTCTCCTACTCACTCCATCCCTTCTCTACTGCTCTACTTTCTTCCAACTTTGGCATGCTGACAGTCCCATCTGTCCATGTCAGGTTCCCCCCCCACCCCTTTCCTTTTAATACACCAGTGATCTAATCATTCCTGCACAGAATGCGGTGACTTGCATGAGCCTTAGTCCCTCTGCCATTCCCATATAGATGGGCTCTATTTTTTTTTTTTTTGCAGTGATATTTATTTTTTTATTATCTATTTTTTTTAACTTAAATTTTAGGTAGTTAACACACAGTGCAATATTGGTTTCTGGAGTAGAAGTCAGTGATTCATCACACATACCACACCCAGGCCTCACCATAACAAGCGCCCTTCTTAAGTGGGATGGGAGTCTTAAAGAATGCATGCAAGATGTGGTCTCATAACTGCATTTCTGCCATATATAGACTTTGACGCCTTCTCAAATAAAAAACAAAAAATAATAAATAAAGCACCCCTGAAAGTCTGCACTGGATCCCTGAAAGTGTGCACAGGGTCTGAGCGACCTGACGTTAAGTATTAGGGAAGCAATCTGTAACAGGAAGGGCATCTCCTTGTGCCTTGGGCCTTTTGTGATCATCACGTTTCAGGACAGCGCAGGTAGGTTTCCGACTCATTCCGCTGGACTTAACCAGCTTCTAACTGTGGTTCTGGCAGTTGTAGAGGCGACCTGGAGAGGTCGCCAACACAAAGACAGACCTAGCATGGGGCAGCCCACTCTTCTGAAGGACCAGCCGCGACCACCCAGCCTGCAAGTGACATACCTCGAATTTGCAATTTCCACTTTGGTTCTCGCCATGGCAGCTGCCCTTTGCGCGCCTTCGATCGCTCGGTCCACCTTCTCCCTAGTTTTTGTATTTCGTATTGGTATAAGCTGCTTCCTTATTCCCCGGACCAGGATATTATTTTTGTATTTCCCCTCTTCCTTGGAGCCGTCAGGAAACACGGTGCAGCCGTACCCGTGCCTCTTGTTATTCGCCCACTCGCCTTCGTACTTCATGCCGTTGGAGCGCTCGCTGATGCCGAAGCCGCTGCGCTTGTCGTTCTTCCACTCGCCCATGTAGGTCTCCGTGGTGGTGGCGTCCACGTGGTCCTCCACGGGGCAGAAATCGCAGTCGACGTCGCCGAAGCTGATGGTGGAGTTGGCGTCGCTGGAACTGATTCTGCTCATGGCCGCGTCGCTGCGGACCGAGCTGCGCTTGCTGGAGATGGAGGACTTGGATTCGGACTTGCGAAGCTTCATGCTCCCCAGCAGGGAGCCCCTTCGAAAGAGGCCGCCCTTCTTCTTGCCCGCGAGCTCGGCGTCGGCGTGGAAGTTGAGCACGAAGCCGCCGCGGGTGCCGGCGGGGCTGTCGGAGGCGGCCGCCGCGTCGTGCAACACGCTGCCGTTGCTCTGCTCGCTGCGCAGCGAGGCCATGGAGGTGCGCAGCGGCGAGCGGATCACCGTGGCCATGCCGTAGGGCACGCTCTGGCGCACGCCGTAGCCGTGCCGCATGCCGCCGGCCCACTGGCCCTGGTAGGTACCTTCGAGAGAAAGCACAGCGTGAGGCGCGCGCAGCTCACCTGCAAGCACCCGGGCGCGCGCACCGCAGGTGGCCCGCGGCTCACCTGCAAGCACCCGGGCGCGAGCACCGCAGGAGACCCGCGGCTCACCTGCAAGCACCCGGGCGTGAGCACCGCAGGCGGCCCGCGGCTCACCTGCAAGCACCCGGGCGCGAGCACCGCAGGCGGCCCGCGGCTCACCTGCAAGCACCCGCGCGCGCGCACCGCAGGAGGCCCGCGGCTCACCTGCAAGCACCCGGGCGTGAGCACCGCAGGCGGCCCGCGGCTCACCTGCAAGCACCCGGGCGCGAGCACCGCAGGCGGCCCGCGGCTCACCTGCAAGCACCCGGGCGCGAGCACCGCAGGCGGCCCGCGGCTCACCTGCAAGCACCCGCGCGCGCGCACCGCAGGAGGCCCGCGGCTCACCTGCAAGCACCTGGGCACGCGTACCGCAGGCGGCCCGCGGCGAAACCCCGCACGCTTCCAACCCGGGCAGCTCCCAGCGCCACTGCTCACCCGTTTGTGAATTCCCGCCCTGTAGCTACGCGTCTATGGTCTTTTTAACTTTTATTTTTTATTTTTCGGGTCTATGGTCTTAATGTCATAGCATTTTCCAATAGCCTGGGAACTTCGCTTTTCCTTTCAAAATCTTTACGAGTGTTTCATTGTAAACCACTACTTTCTCATTTCGAAGGTAATGATCCTCAGAAAACGACCTTTCTCCCCGAAGTTATTATTCTCCCCCTCCACCATGGGAAGGCAGTGTCACGGAAGATGAAAATGAGTTCTATCTGTGAATTTGATTCTCATTTTATTCCTTTAGCCAAAAACCTTTAGAAACGCCAGGTCTGTCATTATAACATTCCAATAAGCTCAAAGACATAAGTTATTAGTGATCTGAATACTCGGGACAGTGGCCAAATTATTTTACATGTTCACTTTTTTTTTAGGGTAGGGAAAATAGTTTAATATTAAGGCTTTTATTTAGATTTGGGAAATATTTTTGGAGCTAAGAGTGATTTGACAAGTAGGATATATGAACCATTATGAAAAAAATGGGCAATTTATTTTGTACTTCCAGGTGAACTGGTTTAAGATTTGTCCTCTACTACTTGCCAAAGTTCTGCTTTCTCCTGGCCATTTTCTTCATGGATTTCCCTAGTCCCTGCCACTACATATTGAAACACGTTGTAGACTAGAAGCACTCTGAGGGCAGGGGTTACCTCCTAAGCAACCATAAAATTTCCAGTCTCATGGCTCTATGTGTCCTGTGGTCTCTGTTTGATGACTTCATAGTAAACAGCTTTGGTGGCTCAAAAGAATATACTATTTACCTCTAGAAAAACTGAGATAAGGCCAGAATAAAACTTCCACTCTTACTTAATAGAATTCATCTCAGAGCAAACGTGTGTTTGACAATGTCCCTTAAAACTCTGTTGACACCAGATGGCTTTTTCAATGAATATTATGTCTTTCTAGGAATAGGATAATTTCTAATCTAAAGCATTTGTGCTTAGTAAGTTTTTCTATTAAATAAATTAGCTAAATTTTCTATTAAACAAATTAGCTGGTGTGGCTTTTTAAATAATCGCATGGAAAAACTGAGTATTAAAATTAGGGAATTTAGGAAAAGAGTAAAATTAGGGAACTTAGAATTTTCTTTTCAAAGTCAAGGCAATTTCCTTTAATTAAAGGCACATTTTAAATTATAGTATCCTCCAGAAGAAGCTCTATGGAAATTTTAAGATATAATTACTTCTGTATTATTCAGAGTAACTCACAATATCATAAAAAAATAAATCATGGTTAGAGTCTGTCTTGACCTCTTTCAGTATCTGATTATATTGATATACCTTGTAGTCACTTTTCATTTTATATTGCCACATACAGATTTCCATTTACTTTTAAAATATTGAGCTATATATGCTAGTGGTTTCATATCATTGTGATATCATTTGATATGGTTTCATACCATATCAATAGGGGCTGATTATTTCACTGCATTTAAAAGTGTAATAGCTCCAAAATCAAAAGTTTTGACAAATTTCAAGACTACCTTCTCTGTTCAGTCTGATAGATGCCCAATAAGCAGACAACAGCAAGACAACAATGAAATTCTAAGTAGGTCTGGTACTATGGATGTCCTATTCTGGGTAAACGTAAAAGTCTTAATCTGACATTTATGAACTTCTGAGTAGGTAGGTAGGTAGGCCATAGCATTCTCAAAAGGACTAAACCCCAAAGGATAAGATAGTCATATACAATATCCCAGGCTAAGAAGGTTCCTACTGAATATTAGTCATTTCCAAATAACCACCACCTTAACAGGGAAGGGAATTAAATTATTAGGAAATTTCAACTGATTTTCCCTTTGCCTATATAGATAAAATAGAAGTTCTAAGATAAAAGTTCTACAACCTGACTTAAAAAAATGTGTACTAAAAAAAACCCGTTTTTTGCAAGAACAGTTTCCAATGGGGCTATTTAATATGTTTTATACTTTGAAAATGCAACCATACCATCTTAGTAAATGATGAACAGTGAGGGAAAATTAACAAGTAGTTTCCTTAAACTGGTATCTCCAAAAATAAGACGAATATTTACAATTTCCAAATAAGTGGTGTTTGAAAATCCAAGCAGTTTAAGGCAACAGCAGTAATTAGAAAGCTTAGGTCTCTGCTTAACTGTCAAACAGGGAAGGGGGTAGGGACAACAGCATTGGCCACGTTCCTATGCTATTTTGTTAAATCACAGTATATGGAAGACCTCCTCCATGGGATTGCTAAAAACCAATTTACAGTCAAACTGTTAGTAGTTCATCTGAAATTTAAAATAGGTTTAGTCAATGAACTTAGAAAAAAAAAGGGCTTCTATTTTTTTTTTTATGAAGCAGGTGGGTTCCAACCTTCTCCCTGCTGTCCAACTCAAGTTCTAATTAGTTCCTGTCCATTCCTCAAAGATGTATCTTTCACAAGTGTAAAAATTATTTTTACAGGTTTTGTCTTAAATTATGTTCTATGATTTTTTTTTTTCATCTGGGAGCTGGTTTTCTAGATATAGCCATTTTAACTACACAATCTTGTAGTGGAAGGCATCCAGTTCAGAATGAGTTCCAGTCAAATGTAGACTGTGCTATGCCAAACTTATATCTATGTGCTATGAATGGGTATATGCAAGTATGCACATAGTTAATAAAGCAATGTGTCTTCCTAGATATTTTCAATAGTTTTATGACTGGTGAAAAAAATGAGGTACAGATTAGACTTTATGCAAAAAATTCTGGGCACCTAGATTAGGATTTCATTAGTATGGTACTAATTTATTCTTAATATTCAGGCAGTTTTGGCAACACTTCACGATCATTAAGTCAGGTGATACTCTTCACCTGGAATTAATACTTCCTTCATCATCTAGTTTAATGTTGTCACAAAATACATGGAATCAGATTTTCCCTAAATTTGACAGAGTGCGCCCAGGGATGGACCTGTGGTAGCGCAGAGACAAAAATAAACTAATTCTTAAGAATAGGGAAGGCGGTATTTCCTATTTTGGCTAAAACTTATATAAAATAAGTTATAGCAATATACTTCTACTTAGACCCCCCACTTTAGGGACTTTTGACTTAAATGGAGTGGCATCTGAAAGAAAGCAGAAAATCAACTAGCACAGAGAAGACATTCAAGGTTTTTTTTTTTTTTTCTTCCTAATTGGTAGCATATTTGATTTTTTTTTTTTTTGGTAGTTGGTAGAAAAGGAAAACCACAGTTCCATGGTGATGCCAAAAATTTAAAAATTTTTTTAAGTTTAGTTTTACATCAGAAGGCAGATTATCCATAAAGTCATCCTGGTCACTTATTTGAGCTTCTATAACACATAGAGGATCTTTATTGTGCCACATATATATACATATATAAAATATGTATATAATATATATATATAAAATATTTTGCTAAGTGCAAATATAATTTGTCAAGTGTAACGAATCCTCTAGAACCAAGAGATTTTGTTTAGTAAGTAGTAACTCTAAAAGAAGACTTTTATTATTTATGACTAATTTATTTTTAACTTTCCCAAACTTAAGAGAACTATCCCCGGTCTTAAGAAGTTATAATATGCACATTTAAAAAAGAAATTTTGGGATCCCTGGGTGGCGCAGCGGTTTAGCGCCTGCCTTTGGCCCAGGGCGCGATCCTGGAGGCCCAGGATCAAATCTCACTTCGGGCTCCCGGTGCATGGAGCCTGCTTCTCCCCCTGCCTCTGTCTCTGCCTCTCTCTCTCTCTCTCTCTCTCTGTCTCTCTGTGACTATCGTAAATAAATATTAAAAAAAAAATAAAAGAAATTTTGCATTCTACTTTTGAGCATGGAATTTAGTTATATTACAGACCTAGGGCCTCTAATAAAATCCAGTCACAAGCTAACATATTTATAGGGCTGTCAGCCAAGGCACTATATGCCCATTCAGAACATTTAAGGGCCCTAATTAACTACTGTGAGACTCAAGACTCCTGTAGCCCATATAAAAGGATTAGAGGAAGTTTTTTCCCCACCTTTTAATCCATGAGAATCATATCCTCTATTTATACCATAGAACGAGAAGATGTCCTTTTTATCAAACCCTACCATTTTGCATTTGAAATACAGCCCGAGTGTTCTAAGTGAAGTGTATATAAATTGTATAAGCTTCTGTAGAAGTAGTGGCCTGAGGTTGCAGTGGGCTGGAGAAACTTTTATTGGATCTTGTTAATACTCTTCAACTCCGAGCTGCGTAATGACAAAAGTTGACACTGCCTTCCCCAACTCTTTTCAGCTGTGATTATGTTTATAATCAGAAAAATGTATTTTGCCAAACCATAAGCCATTCATCCTTCTCTGCTTATTACGCAAGTAAATTCATCAGGTTCTGACACCTGTTTCAATAATGGCTACTTTTCCTAATTAAAAACAAGGAACTCTGCCCTATCATATACACGATTTTGCGACATTGTTAAATATGAAGTGAAGTTTGTTTATAGCTAGCCAGGTCGAGGGCGTACACCGTAGTGCAACTGGGTGATTCCACAGTGGCTGCTGGCTTAGCAACTGTAGGAATGTCATCTTTCGACAATATTTCTTAAAACGCAGACTTCATTGTTCACTCCTAAGACATTTCCCCAGTAACTTGCCCAAAGATCTCCAGATCAACAGCGACTACCATTCTTTGGATGGAAAAACCACTACTTTGAGGAACCGAATGGAAACCGGGAAGGGAAAAACCCACCGTCTGTGAGCCCCACCTGCATCAGGTGGCCGCTCCACTTCCATGGCTAGGAGGTTCCCCAATGCGCTCCAAATAAGGTACAATTCCCCTACATCCTAGTTATGGGGTTCTGGCTGCTATCTTTAGGCTACTAGAGGACCAGAGGCGAAATACGACTCCACGTGAAACCAATCCGGGGAGCGGTCAGCGCCGACCGTCAGCCTCCCAAGCCGCGGGCGTTCGCTCCCACTCCCCGGGAGTGGCGTTTTCAAACCCGGCCGGGAGAGGGAGGGATCAGGAACGTAATGTGACGGGCTCAAGTGACAGCGTCCTCCCTGCCGCCCAACCCACCCGGCGGCGGCGCAGCGCAGCGCGGGCGCGGGCCAGGTGCACTCACGCCTCGCTCCCCCGGGTGTGCACACGCGGCCCGTTCCAAGAACCGGGTCAGACCCCCCCCCCCCCGCGCGCGCACTGGCCGCGTCTGCACGCCGGCGCGGGAGGTGGGGGGCCGGCGGGGGCGGCGGGGGAGGCTCCCCCAGGTGTTTTGGCGGGTTTCCGGACACGTGCGCCTCCCGGCCTCCCGCCTCCCGCAGCCCGGGCCGAGCCCCCCGCACCCGCCCGCGGGGCAGCCGAGCCGCCTGCGACGCCGCTCACCTCCGTCCCCGTAGGTCTCCACGCCGTACCCGTCCTGCAGCCCGTTACTCCAGGTACCCTCGTAGCGGGCGGGGGTGCACAGGCTCTGCCGGACCCCGTAGCGCCCCTTGAAACCGTGCGACCACTCCCCCCGGTACATCCACTTGCCCTTCGTCTCCACCCCCAGCCCGTGCCGCTTGCCCTGCGCCCAGTAGCCCTGGTAGGTGTTGCCGCTGGGCCAGGTGTAGCCTCCGGCCACCTCGAAGCCGTGCGACCAGGAGCCCGAGTACTCGCCCTGGCCCTTGGGCCCCGTGCAGATGCCATGCCCGTGCGCCTTGCCCTCCTCCCAGCCGCCGCAGTAGGTGCCGCCATCGTCGAAGTCGAACCTTCCGCCCGTCATTCGGGGGGCAGCCCCGGCGCGCTCCCCGCGGGGGCACGGACGCGGGCAGAGCTGGGCACGGCAGGGTGTAGCTCGGGGCTGGGGGCCCGGCGCGCGAGCTCACGACAGCGCCCCGGGCAGCTCGCGCCGCCGCTGCGCTCCAGTCCGACGCCGCCCCCGTCCTCCCCTCTGCTCTCGCCGCCGCCGCCACCGCCGCCTTCCTCCTCCTCCTCCTCCTCCTCCGCCGCCGCCGCCGCCGCCTCCTCCTCCGCCGCCGCCGCCGCCCCGGCCAGCGCCGCGCGCCAGAGGACAGCCCCGGCTCCCGAGCGGACCTTCAGCGGCGCCCGCCCGCCCACGTGAGCCCGGCGCCGCCCCGCGCCGCCCCGCGCCCGCCCCGCGTCCCCTCCCCGGGCGCCCAGGCCCGGCCCCGCCCCCGCCCCCGCCCCGGGGCCCGCGCTCCCCGGCGGCCGCGCGTGTGCTCGCCCGTGGGAGGCCGGTGGGAGGGCGAGCGTGCCCAGGGACGCGCGAGGACCGCCGCCTGCACCCGGAGGCGCGGCTGCTCGCGTGGGGGGCGGCCCGCGGGCGGCCGGGCCTCCTGGCCCTCTGTTTGGGGTTCATCGACGTGGTTAAGCTCCTGGAACTGCGACCACGTGTGTGTTGAGGGAAAACTCCTGAATGCGGGTTGGTCTGCGTGGGGTTTGTAGTTGCATTTTCTCCAACGTGTGTACTGTTGCATTTGTCAGGCTGGGCTGTCACCGTGCACTCCCGTCTCCTAGATATATGGATGCGTGTGATGTAAATCGCTGGCAGCCTAGATATAATTGTGCAGAATGTTCTTTTACACCTACCCATTTCTAAGCACATGTGTTTGCATTTATTTAATGAAGATCCGGGGGGAGAGCAATGGAAGTTGAAAAAGCACAAACTAACTCGGTCAGCTTTTGATTTGCGATAATGAAGAGGGGGTTTTGATCTGCCTTTGCGGGGGTGTATAGGGTATATGCCCTTTCCTTTCGCATCGGAGCCCCTAATGTTTGTTCTTCTTCCGACAACCTTAGACATTCTGCAGCCAGGGAGGGCCTCTGTACCCAACAGGCGGAGGGCTCAGTCTGTGAATATCCTGTAAGTGTCTGGAATGTACACCTGGTACCTCTCCGCTGGTATCCACGGCTTAACGAAGTAAATAGAAGATGTCAAGGAGGAATACGGTAAGTTAAACACTGCTCTAAACTTACAAAAAGCCAGTGACCTAAAAAACTGGGGACAGGTGTCAGCTGATCTGTTTTCCAAGCTACCACGCTGTGCTGTTGAATTCACTTTAGGCAACTCTTTTAAACTTGCAAACCTCTAGTTCACCATCTGCCAAATGGGAATGATAAGATTTGTTTTTCCCTTCCTACGTGCGATAGTAACTTGAGTATGTGCTGGTACAGCGCGGAGCCAAGAATTAGAGATTTGGCAATAGGCACTTGAATCGGTATTGCCTCTGGTGAAACCAAGCATTGGTCTCACCCTAATTTGTTCTCACCAAAATACTTACGGGTCATCGCCTTTCTGTGGTCATAGCCCGGGGTCTGAGGCTGGCCTGTTCAGGACACTGCTTTGCGGAGGATTCATGCATGATATTCCTCAGGCCGAGAGGCTTTTGGAATACTGGGGGAGCAGCGGAGGCTGCCAAAGTTTGTCTCAGTAGGTATTTGATAATCAGATAAAAATGATCTGATGTCAGGGTGTCAGGGTAGGGAGCAGGGGAAAAATAGACTAAAGTGTGCAGAAAAAAAGGAATGAAATGGACCTTGATTGGCTCTATCTCAGGACTGGAGCTGGCCTTTCCTGCTAATGTGGCTGAAATACCGAAAGAAAAAAAATCTCAGTTTACACAGAACCAAATCACCAAAGAGAATTAGAAACCCTCATCCATGGCACTGCCTGCAGAGTTGCCAGGAATAGCACTTACCCTAGTGGCCTGAAATAATTACGCATCTTGCTCAGCATCTTGTCCTGGACTAGGGATTGGTTTAGGCCACTGGGAAAACGAGGGCCCAGGTCTTTGCTGATGAACCATAATTCCATTTCTCTGCTATGGGATATACCAGGATCAGGAGCTAGCATAGATGGATATATTGCCATTTATTTTGGGGTTTTATTTGATGTGAAAAACAGTGTGGTTGCTCAAACCAGTATCTTTTTTCCTCTTTTTAAACTTTTTTCATGAAATAACCTTTGTCCTTTTCCCTTTTTCTTCTTTCTTTCTTTTATTTATTTATTTTTAGATTTTATCTGTTTATTCGTGAGAGACACAGCGAGAGAGAGGCAAAGACATAGGCAGAGGGAGAAGCAGGCTCCATGTAGGGAGCCCTGATGTGGGACTTGATTCTGGGTTTCCAGGATCACACCCTGAGCTGAAGGCAGGCACTTAACCACTGAGCCACCCAAGTGTCCCATTCTTCTCCTCCTCCTCCTCCTCCTCCTTCTTCTTCTCTCCTTCTTCTCCTCCTCCTCCTCCTCCTTCCTTCTTCCTTCTTCTTCCTTCTTCTTCTTTCTTCTTTTTTTTAAATCTCCACCCCTACATGTTAGGATCCATATTTGAATATTTCAGGGCTAAGTTTTTGTTTGCAAGCACAGTGCAAACTTTTTTTTTTTTTTTGAACTTTCCCTAGTGAGCTCTCATGCAAATGATGGATTTTCTGAAATAAACTAGCACAGAGTAGGTTGGCTTCTGTGGTGGATGTCTAGTCCTGCCAGTGGTGGGTGGACAAAGGACAAAGGATCCACGCACATCATCATAGATAGAATATGGAGATTTGGGAAACATGAAAGATAGGGTCATTTATCTCTTAATCTGTCTCTTGCTATCCATAATAGATGTCTTCTTTGGAAGGCATCTTCATTAAAAGAAGAAGATACCTAAAAAAATAAAAAATAAAAAAAAAGAAGAAGATACCTGATACACCAAATATCTGATAGTAAATTTTAAGAAATTGTAATCCTAACCTGAGTTTGCCATTGGCTCTCTTCATGGAGGAAATTAGTATTGAATTTTTGGTAGCTTCTAGAACTTTTGGCATAGTAACCGTACAAGCCCTGCCTCTACTTACCTGCTGCCATCACAATGGAATGTTGCATTCATGTAAGTTTTCACGTTCAATGGTAATGGTTGGAGAAGACTGAGAAAGAGAAGTAAGAGGAGGAAGAGGTGCCGAGGATGATGGCATAGAAGATAGTAGGCAGTGGAATAATGTTGCAATTCACCAGTCAGGGTTAGTCATGTCCTTATTTTCCCTCTTACTCTGAACCTTTGCCCTGGATAAGGGGGAGTTGAATTTAGCTTTAAGAAGGGATTAGTAAGAAGAGAATGTGAATGTTGGTTTGACAGGTGGGGTGGGGGAGGCCATTGAAGCCCAGGGGCTGACAACCATTCCAGCACTTTCTTTCTCCCCATGCTCAAAACTCAGCTATTCTAGGCTTTCACTCTCCAAAATTTCATAACAAAACGTAAGCCTTGTTGAGAGTGAATGTCTAGTAACAACCTTTCGATGAGGATGCTTTGCTTAGAATTTAGTATTTTCTAATGAAGGCGTGTTTAAAAATGTCTCAGTGACTTCGGTTCATTTAAGTATTAGAATTATTGAAATTCTTGATAAAAATTTACAAATGACAAAAGCTAATCTGTGGGTGTTTATTGTCTTAAGTGTGTTGCATCAAGGTGTGTAAAAAAGCTCATACAATTAAAATTACTGGGTTAAGCCAATCAAAATTATTACTAGCACATTTGTAATAAAGCATTCATAAAGATTTAAGAAATTTATCCACAATAAGTACAAAAGACATATGGTTATAAGCTTTGAGGACAACTTGATGTTGAAAGAGGAAGAATTAATTAAGACCGTTAATTCCAAAATTAATGGTTTTTACAACTTTGAAGGCAATTACTGAGTTCCAGATTCAGTGTTCAGTGCTTTACATGCATTAATTCATTTAAACCTCATAAAAACCCATGGGATTAAATAGTGGTATTATAACCTTTTTACAAAGAAGAAAATAAGGTTTAAGACGTTTATGTGCCCACGATCATTCCAGGTAGACACAGTCCAGCTGGGATTCAAACCGAGTCTGTCTGACTGTAGAGGTGGTTCTCTTTAATACTGTCCTTTACAGAGCAAGGATGAGAGCTTTCAAATGGAGAGAGAGCAGGCTGTGTGGAGGGCAGTGAAGGTGACTTTTATTTATTTTAAAGAGTAGCTGGCCAGATGAATGGTAATGCTACTGTCTAGTATTAAAGAAATGGAGGAAGAAGAGTAAATTACAGAAGTGGGAAGATAGGTTCACTAAAGGAGAAGAAAAATCCAGAAACAATCCAAGAAAAGATGTTTAGTTTAGCAGCCAGTTGGGGCAGGTCAAAAGCTAGAAATAAATTAGTCAATAAGTAAATAATCCTTGATTTTCTGCTCTCTCTGGCAGCTGTTCAGTAGTGCCTCCTTTTTGAGGCTTGCATGGTGCACTCATTCCACTGGTGGTCCACTCTTGTCTCCATCTAGGTCACTCCCCTATTCATTCAGGACTGGTGGCTCATGCCCTCTTTGCCCTGCACGCTGTCTCCTGTCATTGTCCTGAGCAGATTCATCCTGCCCGCCCATTGTCTTTCCCAGTGTCATGATGCAGCCTGGACCTTATAAGGACCAGGATGTAGGCCACCTCTGAAAACTGGAAGTTTACAGTACTACTCTTTGTTGACACTCTCTGGCCTTCCCAGTCACTGAAAAGGCCATCAATTTGCCGTCTCTACTCCTTCCATATGCTCCATGTCCTAGCCCTTCCCTGCCTGCCGGCCCTATCACACTGTGCTTTCTATAGTGAACTGGTGCCGGCCCCATCCCCAATTCCCATCCCCTGCTCACAGGAAGCCCCTTCTGGAGGCAGTCACATCAGCTACCAGTTTGCCATAGCAAACCCTGGGGGCCAGCCTTAGGTTAATCCCTACACACACACACACACACACACACACACACACACACACACACACAGCAGATCTCTTCCCAGGCAACTTCCGGATGCCTATCACCTGAACTCTATGCAGCCCAGCTCTTTCCTACTGAGCAGAGGCTTTGTCTTCTCTCTAAAGAGGAGAAGAGCTAACTCAGGAGCATCATCCCTCTTTGTCCTCTCTCTGGAACTTATCATTGTTTCCTATGTTCTTCCTTTCCCCACCACTCCATCCCAGAGGAAAAGATAATGGATATCCTTTCTCCTCTCCTTGTTCCGGGGGTCAATTCCTTCTCTCACTTGAATATGCTGTAATTTCCTGCATCCAACAACCATGCTTCTATGTCCTCCACATAAAAACAGTCCTAATTTCTTGGTGCCTGCTTTCACCTCAAGTCCTCTGTTCTTCTCAAGATCGCTGACCTCCTCGAAAGCATATTACATTCATGTAATATATATTTCAAGTATCGTGTATATTCATGTATCATATATGCTCGTATATCTTATATCTTAGCTCTTGTTCTCATGCCACTCAGTTTGGGTTCTGTCCTCACTAATCTGGTGAAATTTATGTACCCAGTAGGGACCTCCTGGCTGACAGATATAATGGCATCTCTTCAGTGTCTGTCCTGCTAGTGACAGCTGTGAATTTGACCCTCGTGAGCACTTCTCTCCCTTAGGTTCTGAAAAACCCATGTCTGTCACCTCTGCTCACTCTCTTGCTCTCCTACCTCTTCAGCTGTCTCCTTCCCTGTGTGTTCTTCTTCTTATCCCTTTCTAGTCTAATTAATTTTAGCCTGTCTTTTGTGTTCTAAGCATTAGCTTCTTGGGACCAGAATTTTGTATAATTGCTGGATACTTGTTGGCTTATCTTACACAACTAGGCAATCCTGCCCTAAGGGGCTAAGAGTCTAATTTAGAAATAGTCTAATTCAGATATAAAAACACCAGCTGAGCCTTTTCTTTAAGTCTCAAGGGTAGTGCTTTGGTTTCTTCCCATGACTTGTCCCTGTGGCTTTCTGCCTACTTTTCCTAATGGGCAGGGCTCCACGTGCACTTAGCATACGTGTCCAATGATGAGGCTCATAGAGGGTTTCAGGAAAGTTCTCACAATGACAAAGATAAAAACAGCTTAAAGAGACAGTAAGCTTGAAGGCACTGAGTGGATTGCAGGTCTGTGCGGAAACTCCAGTAATTGAAGCAAAACATAAAGTGGATGTGTGCA